TGTGTGTGTGTGTGTGTGTGTGTGTGTGTGTGTGTGTGTGTGTATGTGTGTGTGTGTGCTGTGTGTTTGCTGTGTGTTTGCTGTATGCGCTGTGTGTGTGTGTGTGTGTGTGTGTGTGTCTGCGCGGTGTGTACGGTGTATGTGTGTGTGTGTGTGGCTTGTGTGGTGTGCGGGGTGTGTGCAGTGTCCGCTGTGTGCGCGGAGTGTGCAGTGTGTGTGGTGCGTGCGGCGCGCGCGGTGGTGCCGTGCTGTATGGTGCACCGTATGATGTTTTATATAGCACTACCTTGGACGTACCTGGGAGGGCTTCCTAGGGAGTCCTAGGATTTTTTAGGGATCCTACCACTTGCAAGATTCCTGATATGGCCTCTTAGGGAACCCTCTGCGGCGCGCGCGGTGGTGCCGCGCTGTATGGTGCACCTTATGATGTCTTATATCGCACTACCTTTGACGTACCTGGGGGGGGGCTCCTAGGGAATCCTATCAATCCCTAGGGATCCTACCAATCGCCAGATTCTTGAGAGGGCCTCTTAGGGAATCCTGCGAAATCCAAGAGATCCGACCAATTCCCAGATTCCTGGGGGGGCCTCTTTGGGAATACTAGGAATCCCTAGGGATCCTACCAATTCCAAGATTCCTGAGATGGCCCCTGAGGGAATTCCAATAATTCCCAGGGGTCCCACCAATTCCCTGATTCCTGGGAGGGCTTTTTGAGGAATCCTCGGATTTATTCATTGCCTGATTCCTGAGATGGTCTCTCAGGGAATCCCACGAAATCTTAGGGATCTTACCACTTCCCAGATTCCTGGGAGGACCTCCCAGGGTATCCTAGGAGTTCCTCGGGATCTTACCAACTGCAAGATTCCTGAGATGGCCTCTTAGGGAATCCTAAGGCTTCCTAGGGATCCTACCAATTCGCAGATTCCTGAGAGGGCCTCCTTAGGAATCCTAAACGTTCCTCAGGATCCTACCAATTCCAAGATTCCTGAGAGGGCCTCTCAATGACTCCTGGGGATTCCTCGGGATCCCACCAATTCCTACATTCCTGGGAGGACCTCTTAGGGAATCCTAGGAATCCCGAGGGATCCTACCAATCGCCAGATTCCTGAGAGGGCCTCCTAGGGAATCCTGCGAAATCCAAGAGATCCTATCAATTCCCAGATTCCTGGGGGGGCCTCCTTGGGAATACTAGGAATCCAATCCCTAGGGATCCGACCACTTACCAGATTCCAGAGAGGGCTTCTTTAGGACTCTTAAGCATTCTCAGGAATCCCACCAATTCCCAAATCCCTGGGAAGGCCTCATGAATCCTAATTATCGTACCGATTGCCAGATTCCTGGGAGGGCCTCTTAGGGAATCCTAAGAACTCCGAGGGACCCTTACCAATTCCCAAATCCCTGGGATATGAATTCCTAAGGATCCTACCAATTGCCAGATTCCTGAGAGGGCATAGTAAGGAATCCTAGTGCTTGGGGCAACCCCCATGAGGAAGAGGACGGAGGACTGGACAGAGCAGTCGGAGGTAAAAGGTTCCAGAACTCAGAAGATGCGTATATCCTGGATCGGGCAAACTGCATGCAATGTTGGATCCATCAACGTTGCGCATGTGCATATACGTTGCACATGTGCATCTACGTTTACATATATGTGTTTTTGTTATGGACGCACAGGTGTGTGCACATATGTATACATTTATACATATGTATAACCACATCTATTTGTGTACTAGTAATTGTATTTGTATATGCATATACATATGCATGTGTGACTGTCACTGTATGTGTAACTGTATGTGTGTGTGTTTATATATATATATATATATATAGGTGTACCAGCCGAGAGGCCTCTCGGGAGGCCCAAGAGGCCTCTCGGGAGGCCCAAGGTGCCTCTCGGGAGGCCCAAGACGCCTCTCGGGAGGCCCAAGACGCCCCTCGGGAGGCCCCAGAGGCCTCTCGGGAAGCCCACGACGCCTCTCGGGAGGCCCAAGACGCCTCTCGGGAGGCCCAAGAGGTTTCTCGGGAGGCCCAGGGCGCCTCTCGGGAGGCCCAACAGGCCTCTCGGGAGGCCCAAGAGGATTCTCGGGACGCCCAAGAGGCTTTTCTGGACGCCCAAGGGGCCTGTAGGGAAACCCAGGAGGCCTCACCAGGAGGCCCAAGACGCCTTTCAGAAGGCCCAAGTGGCCTCTCGGGAGGCCCAAGAGGCTTCTCGGGAGGCCCCAGAGGCCTCTCGTGACGGCCAAGAGGCGCCCAAGTGGCTTCTCGGGAGGCCCAAGACGCCTCTCGGGAGGCCCAAGGTGCCTGTCGGGAGGCCCAAGACGCCTCTCGGGAGGCCCAAGAGGCTTCTCGGGAGGCCCAAGAGGCCTCTCGGGAGGCCCCAGGGGCCTTTCGGGAGGCCCAAGGCGCCTCTCGGGAGGCCCGAGAGGATTCTCGGGACGCACAACAGGCTTCTCGTGGGGCCCAAAGGTCCTCTCGGGACGCCCAAGTGGCCTCTCGGGACGCCCAAGGGGCGTCTCAAGGAGGCCCAAGACGCTTCTGAGGAGGCCTCTCAGGAATTCTCCAGAGGCCTCCGGAGAACTATTCTGAAACTCGCACCAGAGAATGGAGCAGTTGACCGGGGAAAGGCCCAGCTTACTGAGACAAGGAACTTTTTCCCCCGTCCCGTGGGGGTCCTCCTCACGTGCACCAGGGAGCGCCAACGGCGGCGCATGCAGCAATGCGGGCCCCGACGTCAAAGGCCCAGTCGTCGGGCTCGCGGGGAGAGCACCCGCTGTCGGCGAGCCTCATTTGCGGCAGGTGCGTGTCGTGTCGACGCGGCGGCGACCGCAGTGCGGGCGTTCAAGGCGGAATGCTGCCAGTGGCCTTTGAGTCGGCCGATGTCGAGCAATCCCCGTCGGTCTAGGCCTTCACCACCAACCAAACCACCCCAACCCAACCCGAAGGCTCAGATTTACCCTCGATTTCCAGTGGGCGGCGGTCGGGGAACATCGAAAAAGCACATGTGGAGCCCTTACCCCCCCCAAACCCGAAATTCGTGTCTTCGGGTTGGGTTGGGGTGGTCTGGTAGGTCGTCAGGCCTCCCAGATGGGGTCGGAGCAGAGATGGGGGCGGAGGAGCGCGCCGCATCGTCGATGCATCCGCGATGCGGCTCGATGTGGAGCCCGATTTTCTGCACGCCGACGGCGCCGATGCATCGCATCGCAGGCGTCGCCGATGCATCGCCGAGGCATCGGCGATGCATCGGCGATGCGGCGCGATCCTCCGACGCCATCTGCGAGGGCCCCCTGTGGGAGGCCTCTGGCTATCAGAGAGAGCAGCGATCGTTTAAGGTGTGAGCGATCCACAAGGTGTCAGCAACCAGCGCCGAAGGTCGTCACGACGTGAGCCTGCCGCAGGTTGACAGGCTCTGGCGCTGCGTCCTCCAGCGCAATCCCATTGGAGGGGAACATGCGGAGGTCCTCCTGCTCCTCCTCCTGCTCCTCCTCTTCCTCCTCCTCCTCCTCCTCCTCCTCCGCCCCTTGCTATCGGAGAGCCACGATCGCTCAAGGTTGAACGATCCACGCGGTTTCCGAAGACAGCGCCGAAGGTCGTCACGACGTGAGCCTGCCGCAGGTTGGCAGGCTCTGGCGCTGCGTCCTCCAGCGGAATCCCAGTGATCACACCTCGCCAAAAACGATGCCTCGTTCGACGTGGGCCGCTGGGGATCTCGAGCTCTTCCCAGGCTTTGCATGCTGAGCTGCCTCTCGTGACGGTCCTGGGCCGCCAGAGAGCCCCCGCCACGATCTCTTCTGTGTCGCCTGGATCTGAAGGATCTTCGCAGCGTCCAATTCGATCCGATCGACCCGATTCGATGTCAGTCTTGGCCAGCCCGATCCGATTCGATTCCGATGCGTCGACGAGCCGATGTGGCCCGATGCCTGCACGGCGCAGCTGTGTGCGTCCCGGCGTGGCCGATCCGCTTCGATCCCGACTCCGCGCCGATGCAGCCCGATCCGACGCAGATTTCGGTCCGATCCGATTTCCCGCGGAAGCCTGGAAGGCAGCGGAAGCCTGGAAGGCAGCGGAAGCCTGGAAGGCAGCGGTGCGCAAGTGTATTGTCTAGCGCACGCTCGTGCCATTGCTCATGTGCCTGCGGACACGCGGCGCCATTCATTCATTCATTCCGATCTCCCGATTCGACGCTCACTGATCCTGTCATTGATCCTCGGCGCTGGAGGGAGGAGGCGGCTTGCCCCCCCGCCAGGCTCGCGGACGGGCTCAGCCAGGCGGCGCCCCTGGCGCTCGCGCTGCTGACCATGTGGCAGCCACCGGCCGCGCCGGCGGTGGCCCCCCTTGGGGCCTGCCGCAGAGGGAGCATGCAGGGAAGGCGAGGAGCAGGAGGAGGATGAGGAGGAGGAGGGGTGGGGGGTGGGGAGGAGGGACGGGGGTGGGGAGGAGGATTGGAGGCTTCTTGGGCACTAGGGGCGATCTTGACGGCCTCTTGGGCAGTCTTGGGCAGTCTTGGGCCGTCGGAGGGCCGAAATGGAGCAGAAGCCTAAATCCTTCAAAAACCTAAGGGCAATCAATGATTTTGACCTCTTCGGGCCGTCCTTGAGGACCCTGGAGGACCTCTTCGAGGCCTCGTGGGCCGTCTTGGAAGCCTCTTGGAGGCCTCTGGGGCCGCCTTGGGTCGTCTTTAGGTGTTTCTTATGTGAACTTGGAGACATCGTTGACTCTCGTGGGCCGTCTTCGAGGCCATCTTGGATCATCTTTGGCGACTTGGAGGCCATCTTGGGCCATCTTGGCCATCTTGGAGGCCATCTAGGAGCCGTCTATAGCTGAAGAACTCTTTGCAGCCACCTTTTATGCGCCCTTCCAGGTGGCCCGCGGGACGGGCCGAAGTCCCATGGGGGAGTTCTATGGGAAAAAACCAAAACCAAACTTGAAAGGATCTAGCACGCGGGGCACCCCTGTTGCAAGCCAACAGGGGGCGGCGGATCGAAGACGCCTACGGCGAATCACAGCCGCCCCCTGCCTCTGTGGAAGCGCCTATGTGGCCCAAGGTTGAGGCCAGACCTGCCACGCTATCGGACCATGTGTTCCCCGAGTCGGTTTGGAAAACCTTCGGGGAACACGTGGGCATCTTGAAGGTCATCTTGGCCGCCTGAAGGCCATTTTGACCCTTTCGGGCCTTCTTGGAGGACGTCTTGGAGGGCTCGTGGGCCGTCTTGGAGGCCATCTTGAGCGTCTTGGAGGCCTCTTGGGCCGTCTTGGGGGCCCCCAGACGGACCAAGAGGCGCCCAAGACGGCCCAAGAGGGCCCCACGACGGCCCCGAGGGGGGGACCACGAACCGAAAAGTCTTGCCTACCGCCCAACGACGCTCCCAGGAGGCCCCCACAGCCCCCCAAGAAGCCCCAAGAGGCCCCCAAGAGGCGTCCCACGAGGCCAACAGGAGGCCAAAATCATAGATTTTCTATGGGAAAACGTAAATTTTTAGCATACACGGCTTTTTGGCTTTCACGGCGTTGACGACGGCCCAAGCGGCCCCCAAGACCGCCCCAAGACGGTTCCAGAGGCTCCCAAGAGGCCCCCAAAACGGCCCAAGAGGGCGCCCAGACGGCCCAAGAGGCGTCCAAGACGGCCCAAGAGGGCCCCAAGACGGCCCCAAGAGGGGGACCACGAACCCGACAGTCCAGCCTTTCGCCCAAAGTCGTGTGGGTCATCTCTTGGGCTGTCATGGGCACCTGCGGGGGACAGTCCCGCGGGTCCCTTGGGGCCTTCGTGGGCCGTCTTGGGACCGTCTTGGGGTCCTCGCGGCCGTCCGGGGTGTCTCTTGGGGCCGCCGGCGTTCCAGGGACCCTCCTTGGGCCGTCCTGATCGCTTTATGGAAGCCCTCTTCGGCCAGCTTGGGGCTTCCTTTTCGCCGTCCTGGGTTGTCCTGGGGCCCTCTTGGTGGCACTCGGCGGGCGCTCCTTCGCGTCTTCAAAGGCCGCAGACGAATCGATCTCCGACCGACGAGCGCGGAAACCGAGTTGCGAGTTTGGCCCCCCGATGGCCTCCTGGAGAGCGTCTGGGGGGTGCCTCTTGAGGCAATGCTGGGCCATCTTGGCGGCCTTGGTGGCCTCGCCCCCGCCGTCGTGGAGGCCTCGGAGAGTTTTGGCGATCGCCAGGGAGGCGTCGGGGCGGCCCAGGGAGCCTTGGGAGGGGAGGGGGCGGTGGCTATGCAGGCAAGTGGATGTGATGGGAGGGGGGGCCTCAGAAGACCACGGACTACTGGTACCCTGCTGGGCAGAACTTGGCAGTCTACCGAGCCTCAACGTGCCAGGGGTCGCGGTGGCGGACCACGGCTGCCGTGGCAGATTAAAGCAGACGCGTTAGGAGTGGCATGGGGATCCAATCCCATGACTCCGCGCGAGTGCTCTGCTTTATGGCCCTCCAATGGGCAAACTTACAATCCCACGCTTGCCGCCGAGAGGGTGTATCAGACAAAGCAGGGAGGACAACATGCACTAACACAACACTGTGGTCGGCGATAGTAGGTATGACCTCGGTCTTCACAATGTCAGGAACGTCTGTCAATACTAAATCTAGCAGGTGTCTACTTCGAATTTGTTTCCGGACCTGCTCGACAAAAACCACGCATCGTGCACACTTGTCGCATCGATGCCCCCTCTGGGCTGGAACGGTTCGAACAATAGAGCCATTCCTTCTGATGCACGTTAAAATCGCCGATCAGCAAACTGCCTACAGACAGTGGAGAATGCAGCTCCCACTCAGTTAATAACGCCTGGAGACAAACAATCTCTCCGTGGCAGGGCGGCCGATACATGCAACCTAAAAGAATTGGGCCACAATCAGAATCGAACAGGCACCGAAGAAGTTCAGCGACGAACGAGCGAGGGAGAGGCGAGAACATAGGAGCATACGAAGATAGAGCAAATATCAATACACCACCTCGAGCTGTCGATTCGCGATCCCTGCGACAGAATAATTAGAGAGACCCGGATGCTGGCACGATGTGGTGATGATGATGATGATGATGATGATGATGATGATGATGATGATGATGATGATGATGATGATGATGATGATGATATTGATGATGGTGGTGGCGGTGGTGGTAATGATGATGATGTCGTGGTCTTGTCTGGGTGCGGTCTGGCTTCGCGCGGCCCCCGCATCGGCTGGACCTCCCAGGATTCCCCAATGCGTTTCTCGCGCTTTTCGGGCTGACATATGGGCCAATTGTCAGGGTGTTAACGCGCTCTCTTGTAGCTTAACTGCCCAGCCGTCTGATCGACGCAGGACCGCTCTTCTTTAATGCTGCCTGGCCGTATGTTGCTTCGAACCCGGAGGCGCCAGTCAGGTTATCGCGACGGCCAAGTGATGTTGCTGTTGCTGATGATGATGTCGACGACAACGACCACGCCACGACGACGACGACGAGGACGACGACGACGACTTCGACGATAGGGCTGATGATGATGACGGGGATGCCTACGATGATTATGACCTCCGTGACGATGGCGATGACGATGGCGATGACGATGACGACGACGATGATGATGCGGATGTTGATGAGCATGAGGATGAGGATGCAAAAGATGATGAGAATAATGAGAATGATGAGGATGTTGAGGAACATGAGGGTTATGTGGTTGATGATGACGGTGATGATGAGGAGGATTATGATGATGATGATTATGATGTTGATGCTGGTGATGCGATTGTAATAAGAATGGCGATGATGATGATGATGATGACGATAGGGGATGATGATGATGATGATGATGATGATGATGCTGCTGCTGCTGATGACGACGACGACGACGACGACGACGACGATGATGATGATGATGATGATGATGATGATGATGATGATGATGATGATGATGATGATGATGATGATGACGATGATGATGATGATGATGATGATGATGATGATGATGATGATGATGATGATGATGGTGGTGATGGAGGCCGAGGTGGTGGTGGCGGTGGTGATGGTCGTGGTGATTACGGTGATGGTGATGTCGATGATATTCTTGACGGTTCGCGTACCCCCACCAGCCCATCCAGAAACGATGCCCATGAAAGCCGACGGGGGGAGAGAGGAAGAGACACGCATAGTCGACGGATTCTGGCTTATTGATGACCTCCTGGGGAGGCTCCGTGGCCATCTTGAGCAGTCTTGGAGCGGTCTTGGGGCCTCTTGGAGCATCTTGTCTTGGGAGCCATCTGGAGCCAGCTTGAGCTATCTTGAGCCATCTTGAAGGTCATCTTGGGCTCTTTGAGGCCCCTCGGGGGCCGCTCGGGGGCCTGTTGGGGGCCTCTCGGGGTGCCTTTTGGATGCCTCTTGGGGCTTCTTGGGGCGCTCTTTCGGCCCTCTTGGGGGCCTCCTGGGAGCACTGGAGGGCCTCTTGGGGCCATCTTGGAGGCGGTCGGGTCAAAGAGTGGGGGTACTAGATTTGCGTCCCCCCCCTCGGGGGCCACAGTGGCAGAAAAAGGAACCTCCGACACATCGCGACCCGTTCCCAAACAAAAGCTTCAGGGAGGCGAGGGGGAGAGTCTCCCTCCCCGCAGGGAAGAGGGATTGTGGAAGAGGAAAGAGACCCTCGTCCGACCACCTGTCGCCCACTGGGCTGGCGGGATTCGGTTATCTTTACGGCCATATAAGTGTACAGTCATATACCATTATAGTATTTAATATCACATGTGTTGTCATATTACGTTGTGTTATGTTTAATTAGTTTCATGCCGTAGTTAGTGTGAGTAATTTCGGTATCTGTTGCTGCAGCGCTCTTTCCGTTTCTGTGCCGGGCCAGGTAACGGAAAGAGCGAGGTACGAGCGATGACGTTGTGTTTTGGGCGAAGCCCCTTGAGGGGGGTTCCAGGGGGGTGCGTAGCGCGAGCGGATTGGCTCTAATGGCCGTTTTCGGGTTTTCCTTCGGCTTTTTGCATGTTTTTTTGGGTTCCCCTCCAAGACGGTCCACGAGCGCTCCAAGACCGCCCAAGACGGCCCAAGAGGCCTCCAAGAGGCCCCCAAGTGGCGCCCAAGGGGCGTCCCAAGAGGGCCCCAAGAGGCCCAACTCATCGTTTTGCCAGAGGAAAACGTATATTTCTAGCACATACGGCTTCTCGCCTTTCACGGCGTTGACGACGGCCCAAGAGGCCCCCAAGACCGCCCCCAAACGGCCCAAGAGGCTCCCAAGAGGCCCCCAAAACGGCCCAAGAGTGCGCCAAGACGGCCCAAGAGGCGCCCAAGACGGCCCAAGAGGGCCCCAAGACGGCCCCGAGGGGGGGACCACGAACCGAACAGTCTAGCCTTTCACCCCAAGACGC